GCAGGTTGCATTCATTCACAGCATGACTGTTGCCACAGGCGACCCAGTTGATGAAGCCGCAGCTCTCCCGGGTCAGCCACAGGACACGTATGACCCGGAACCAGACCATGAGTGCTGCGAAAGGGTGGTCATTAACATCTCTGGCCTGCGCTTTGAGACGCAGCTCAAAACTCTGTCTCAGTTCCCAGAGACATTGCTTGGGGACCCCAAAAAGAGAATGCGCTATTTTGACCCTCTGAGGAATGAGTACTTTTTTGACAGGAACCGCCCAAGTTTTGATGCCATTCTGTATTACTACCAGTCAGGTGGCAGGCTGCGGAGGCCTGTCAATGTGACATTGGATATTTTTTCTGAGGAGATACGTTTTTATGAGCTCGGGGAAGAAGCCATCGAGATGTTCAGGGAGGATGAAGGATTTATTAAGGAAGAGGAGAAACTCCTGCCAGAAAATGAGTTTCAGAGGCAGGTGTGGCTGCTCTTTGAGTATCCTGAAAGTTCAGGGCCTGCCCGGATTATTGCCATCATTTCCGTCATGGTCATCCTCATATCTATAGTCAGTTTTTGCCTGGAGACACTTCCAGTTTTTCGCAGTGAGGACCTGGACACGCATATTCCCATGGGCTCCAACTCAACAAATAGTTACACCTCCTCCTACTTTACTGACCCTTTCTTCATCCTGGAGACCCTTTGCATCATATGGTTCTCCTTCGAGTTCCTGGTGCGGTTCTTTGCGTGTCCCAGCAAAGCAGGCTTCTTTGTCAATATAATGAACATCATTGATATTGTGGCTATAATACCTTACTTTATCACGTTGGGCACAGAGCTAGCAGAGAAGCCAGAGGATGGCCAGCAAGGGCAGCAAGCCATGTCACTTGCCATTTTGAGGGTCATCAGATTAGTACGAGTCTTCAGGATCTTCAAACTGTCCCGGCACTCGAAAGGGTTGCAGATTCTCGGGCAAACGCTCAAGGCCAGCATGAGGGAGCTAGGGCTGCTTATCTTCTTTCTCTTCATTGGCGTCATCCTCTTTTCGAGTGCCGTCTTCTTCGCAGAGGCAGACGAGGCTGACTCGCAGTTTATTAGCATCCCCGATGCCTTCTGGTGGGCAGTGGTCACAATGACGACAGTAGGGTATGGTGACATGGTTCCAACTACAATCGGTGGCAAAATTGTGGGTTCCTTGTGTGCTATCGCTGGTGTGCTGACCATTGCCTTGCCCGTGCCTGTCATAGTCTCAAACTTCAACTACTTCTACCATCGAGAGACAGAAGGCGAGGAACAGGCCCAGTACCTTAACGTGACCAGCGTCCCCAAGATAGATTCCTCAGAGGACCTGAAAAAGAGCCGCAGCGGGTCAATCATGAGCAAGTCTGACTACATGGAAATTCAAGAAGCTGTTAACAACAGCAACGAGGACTTTCGAGAGGAGAACATCAAGACCGGCAACTGCACCCTAAACAACACTAACTATGTTAACATCACCAAAATGCTTACAGATGTATAACTGCTTTGATCAGCCTTGTCGAAGAAGGTGAGATAAAGTAGGGGAGTGCAAAACCCAGTTTTGAAGGCTTCAGACGCCTCGTGTAAGAGTTTCAAGACGGGAGGACTTGAACGCGTCCATTTGAGAGAAGGATCAGTAAAGAAGACCTGTCCTTCATTACATCCCCATTCCCTGTCGCAAGTTCTGGAAAACTTGTTGTTTTGCATCCTTGTGTTCAGTGTCTGCATGGAGTTTGTCTTTTCTGTGTGACTGTTCTAGTAGTCGTTCTGCTTGCAACAGTAGCCAAATTGTAGCCTAACCAATATATACAAGCGTAGCATAGAGGGACCAATTCCTGACTCCCATTCCCCCATTCACTGCCAACCTGAGGACCCCTTGAGTCTTTTTCGAGTGTATTTGTACCTTAAAAGAACAACAATTTTGTCACTCCAAATTGATCAGTGGCTTTAAAACATGAAGGAGTTAACATATTTGTGAAGAATCATCATGGAGGATGTATTTCTCTGTGAATGCACAAATGCTGCCTGTCCTGCCAGCCACAACGGCTAAAAATATAACATTCCATCTTGTGACGGAGAAATACATGCATGACCAATCTTGGGGGCCTGGAAAGCCGGTTAAATATCTATGACCATTTTCCCTCTTTTGCTGCCAATGTTAAACGTTACTAAGAGTAAACAGACCTGAAAGTGGAGCGGAGATTGTTTTGAAGTTGCCCATTTTTCCATCGTCGTCATTCCACTATACTGCATGAGCAGCTGCCCTCCATTGCATCATTTCCTCCCGTCACTTACTTTTCCCAGCATTGTAAACTTCCAAGCATTCCATGTGTATGATAAATGTCTTTTGTAACGAACATCTACCACTACAAGCACCTGACGAGGGGTTGAAAGAGTGTAGATATTTTACTGTGACATTGCAGCCAACAACAGCAAAACACTAGCTTACTAAGTCAGGTCACCAAAGATGAAGTTCACTGCCGCTATTTATTGCATTTTTATGTTGTTTTTACATTTTTGTGCCATTTCATGGTGCATCCTGCTCATAATATGATGCTGGAGAATTTGGATAAATCTTGTATGAAATTGATGCTTCCTTGAATAGCTTTTGTAAGAGATAGGAAATATTCTACTACTTTTGTGATGCATGTCTGGTACACAGTCCTTGTAGCATGCATGTAGTAAGAATGATACTTACAAAATTAGAAATAAGTATTCATATCTTTATCAATATAAATATTTTTCTCTGTGAGATTAACAGTATGTGCAATATTATAAATGCTTGTTTTTTTTAAGGTTACAAGATTTTGCAAATAGTTTTCTATGTTAGTAGGCTTAATATATTAGTTATAGTGTAATAGCCCACTTTCACGGTCGAATGCCATCAAGGTTGTTCATTTCGTAGTTTGGTTTAATTAAGCAATGGGAGAGTGAGATGCACCAATTAAAATGAGCATTTCAAAGCACCACACTTGGATGTGGGGGAAATCTAATTTAAAAAAAAAATCTCAATCCCTGATTTAATAACAAGGGATTCTGAAGATTTTGTCAAATTAAATATTGGTACATTTAACATGTCTAGTCTGTAGCCTATCCTCATAACTAAAGATGGTTTCTCTAGCTTGGTCTGTTGTGTTGATGTTAAAGACCTCATGAAATCAAAATTGTCTGTTGCAGCTTTTAATCCAGTTAGTTTTGAGACTATTGAAATGTTAGACTTTATTTTTTGTATAAGTATATTTCAAATTTTCAGCCTTTCTGAAAAAATGAAGCAACATATTGATAGTTTCATCTGTTTAGGGCCATTTTTAAAATGTGGTTGATTAAATGCTCCCTAGAATGAGAAAGTCTCCTTCCTCTAGTGTCAACTAGGTTTGACTGGTTAGTGTCAATACTTAGCCCCTGCTGGTAGATAATGTAACTACACCATTATGCATATGCAAAGGTATATCTCTCCATTAAAATGAAGCCATGTGTACTTATGAAATCATATTTTTTAAGTAACAATTAAATCACAAAACATATTTTTTATTGTTTTTACACTAGTGACTTTATTTATTGATTTATTGTTTTAAAAAACCATTTCATGGGGTCTTTAATGTGGGGAAAAAATAGCAGAACACCATTTGTTTTGAAATAAGTGGCTCAGGACCTATGCAATTTACAGCTGAGAAGTAGAAAAGCTCTATGGTAACTAAACAGTACATACCCTACCACCCCAGTTTAAACACGTTCAACTGCCCAAGGTTTTTCTCAGAATTACATTCACTCCACTGCCAAAATACTTGGCAGATCTCCTTGCCACTATGTTTGCTGTTACTCTGGCCGAATGAGAGGTAGCCTCTAGCCATCAAAGCTACGCAAATTCTCTTTGAAAACTTTAAAAGTCTCTCAGTGAGGCAATACTGCCATATCCAAGAGCGTGGTGCGCCATTCACTCCACCCTTTGCAAATGCAAGACTTCCTAACCTAATAACACTTTTACTTCCTCTGCCCAAGAGCTTCAACGAGTGAGGGTTGGGGTTTGAACCTATGCTAAGCCGTGCTACCTGCTTTCACAAGTTTTAAGGAAATGTTTAGAGAAAGCAGAGATCACTTAAGAAGACTTGGCAAAGTGAGCGACATATTGCAGCCATTACGTTAACGTTCAGCCTTAATGGATGGGACACTTTTCTTGTCTCTCCAAAAGACATGAACTTGTGTCAAGAATGTGATGATATTCTTGAAGTCACTTAAAGTCAACATGAAACTGTTCACAACCCATTTTTTGACATGTGTCTAAGCAAAATACGATATTTGATTAGAAAAATGTTGAAATTAATTGATTAGAGTAGGAAAAGGACATGAGATTAAGAGGGATTTGTGAAGTAAAAAAAATCACATTGACTTATTTGTCATAGTTTAAGGCATTTATTCATACATATATATACTGTATATATAGAATCACAATGAATTTTTTCATCCTCTCATATTCACCTTCACCGATTCCATCACATCCTGTTTTAATGACTGTATATCCGACATAACATACGCCACTCTGAGGATGCTTGTCAGTCGCTTTTGGAAAACAGACTTTCTCAATGTTTTTTTCTTTTCCATGTGTGTTGTTGAATGCATGCAGAAGCGCTTTTACATTAGATGTCCATGCAAAGGATGGTATGCAGTAATCAGGCAAGCCCTTTTACACTGCCAGGGCTACAATCGTCTTTGAGACGAAGGGATTATTGATAAGAAGTCGTAATTTTAGTTAGCGTTTTATAGCGAAATACGCCGAACTGATGCTCTGAAAGTATCGTATTTAATTGCATCTCCATAGCTGCCTCATCCTGTCTGAAATTGTGAATATATTGTTTTGAATATATTCACTACGACAGTCGGTCTGTACATTTGTAATACTCTAAAGATTTCAAATACTTTTAACGCCTATATATGAACACAGCTTTGTGATGATACTTTCAAAAAATCCGCTGCTTTCATTGTTGTCTTAACACAAGCTATAGCTTTATAACACGTCCACCATGTAACGCAGTTTCGTAATAGTCAAAAAAATTCACAGCTGCAATTATATCCTTTAAACCTTATCCAAATCTAGATGTATACTTCATATACATTAAGCACAAACACTGAGAAAAAAATAACCTGTAATTATCATAGACGCTTTGCCTATCGATTACTGCGGTATATTAATGTATCAGCAATCAAACCACGCCTTTATATCTAATCAATATTCAACTGAATGTCATTACAGGCTTTACTTTTCACACTCAGGCATGATTTATGGATAAAAAAAGCCCACATTTGCTATAAACATGTACATGCAATATGGAAATACATTGTATATATAGATAAAGATGGGTGGACAAATGAACAAACAGACCAAGATTGAGAGGAAAGATGAGCAGATGTGATTCAGAAACAGATCATAACAGAGGTGTTTTGGGGTTGATGGAGGTGGGAGCTCTGAGCTCGCTTCTCATCTTGTTTTGAAAGAAAGTTAGGCCTTGTTCACACTGCACATTAATCCGATTTGTTTTCCAAACCCAGTTGTTTTGGACTGACTGTGTATGTTGCGGTGCTTAAAGTGACTGGATCTGTTTGATAAGACACTTTAGCCAATATTTAATATAGCGTATCTACAGTGCTCACTATGGTAATGACTATAGCATTAGGATGATGCTAAGCTACTTTCTTTTATAACAACTGAGATAGGGTGTATTTTATTCAACCATTGCATTTATTTGCTATGTAGCAAATAATAAATTCCATAGTTCACTACATGGAAAAAAAAAAATGGGTGGATGTTTTCTGTGACATTATATACACGCTGCGGCCTGAATTACAAAAAAAAAACATTAAAATCCAATCCAAATATTCATACCCCTGTTGTGCTTAATTGCATTAAATGTGTACTTCGAATCTAAAAAGTATGTTTTTACAAGACTACACTTGCAGAAATTATATCTGCACTTATATTCATATCTGAGCCTGCAGATATGGTTACTATTATTAATGTCTGCACTTGCAGATATTAATAGTATAGTATGAATTAAATAAAAGGCCACTTAAGTGTACTTAAAGAATGTATACTATCATGACTGTGTTTCTCAACACCTTACACTTTTAAGAAGTGCTCTTTGTAATAATGTCAAATTAAAAATGTTACAGTTGTTTAAGTAATTGTTTTAATAATTGTTAGTCATGCTTTAAAGTACATTTTGATGTGACTAACATACTAAAGCACATGTAAAGTATGCGATTGTAATTTTAACTGTAGTATGTTTTTTGATGTTTATTCAATGTTAATATATTTGAAATGTACTGAATTGCAACTTTATCATCACAAATGTGTAAATAGTTTCAATAGAAATGACATTAAAGTATATTTTATTTTACCATAAATGCTTGTCAGTACATTCAGCAGTATACACACAGTAAACCATATTTTAAAGACAACAGATTTATGAAATTACATATAAAAATATACCTTTTCATTTCATTGTAAATAACATGCAAGTAAGTGTCTGAAAAACATATTAAGTATATGTATTTTTTAAATGTATTATTTCCGTATACACAAGGTTACTGAAACGCGTTTCAGATTTGAATCGACCAACTTTCATTTCAGATGACCTGAGAATGTGATTTGGATCTATTTTGATCTGTTATATGCTAAAAGAAAAATCTAATTTTTGCTGCCTGTGTGAACAAGGCCTTATAGAAATGTGAATGGCAAACCTTTGACTGCTTGGAAAAGCACCTGTTATCTTTCTGTGTAGCAGCACACCTCTCTCCGCCGTCTGTGGAGATGCTCTTGATGTCAACAGGTTGACGGATAATGAAGTGTGCACTTCAGCGGATGAGCTGAGCTATTAGGTGTTGGTCTGCATGTGTCTTATGTGTGTATGTGACATTGTCCACACATTGTCATCCAGGAGGCCTGATCTTTCATTTCTTGTACAGACCTTTTGTTTTCTATACGAAGAAACAAAAAACTTTCAAAAACTGAGCACAATAATGTAACAGACAGAAGAACCAAGAGATGGAGGACTCTGTACATTCTCTGGATGTGATAAATGTCATGCACTTTACAAGGACCACTGGACGCTAATGCTAAACCTAAAAGACAATCTTGGAAAGAGAACAAGAGATGCCTCTTTTCCTTCCAAAAGATTATAACTGTAA